TTAATCTAATTGAGTTTGGGGCTCTGAAGATCTTTCCATCCTTCTGCTCTTACAATAACAGCGGGGGAAGATCTTGCCCTACGCGTCCCTTTTCACGTCTGTAATTATGTCCTTGGGATAAATTCCTAGAGGGGAAATTCCTGGGAATAAACAAGTTCAGCCTTTCGGTACATATTTTTAACTTGTCCTGCAGGCAGACAGTACCAATTTTCAGTTCTGATGAACGGCAGGCAGATTCCATTCCCTGGGGACTCGGCGTCTTTTTCCCCAGCAGGACTGACACGCTTCTCATCTCAGGCCCACCCGACACCCTGGCAGCGCCTCCCCCGTCCCTCCGTTCCCAGGCTGCCTGCAGCTGCCTGGCTGCACGTGCACCAGGGCTGTTCTCTCCTTGAAGGCCGCCTCGGTTCAGAGCTGCCTCCTGCTTTGCAGGAAGCCCGGCCTCCGGGGCGGCTTTATCCCTGGAACTCACATACAGGAGCAGGTTTAGGGACAACAACATGCTTGGCCAATTCCACTTCCCAAGTTAAACTCCCCATTTTCCTTGCTTTTTGGGATTCTTTGACTTCCAATTGATTTTTTTTTTTTTCTATAGATTTCCATGACAAAGCTCTGGAGAAGGGAGTATTTCTCCAGCTCGGGATACAAATACAGCTAGTCAATCCTATTTTTCAGATTAAAACCGTCCTTGTTTTTTCCAGTTAGCTTGGCAGAAAGCCCAGGCTCTCCCGTGGGCCTCCCTGTCCCTGTCCCATCAGGGAAGGCCAAAGAAGGATGGTGCCTTCGCGCACACTCTCCTTAACCACCTTATTTGCTGGCGGCATCTGTTCTCTGCCCTCAGCCCTGTGATGAGCAAATATTTGACCGCGAGCCCGGCCTGGACAGAAGACCCCGGCTGGGGCGGAGCTTCGCCTGCGTCCCAGCCATGGCTGGCACGACCGCTGACCTCACCTGCTGACCGTCGTGACCTGACGAGGAAGAGGGAATCCTGAAAGTTCCCTTGCTCCTCCTAAACCTTCACAGCAGAACTATTTCACTTGAAGGAAACTTCCGGATCAGGCACCCATATACGCAAATGTGCTTACAAACACACATGCGCAAGTCAAATCTAAATAGTAAAAATTATTGCTCACGCCGATCTCTTCCATTAGCTTGGATAATTTAAAAGTAATGACACTGCGCACTGTTTGGACTGTCTGTAAAGCATGGAGCACCTAGTATGCGCTGTGATTGCGTGAGGTGGCCCTGAGGACACCACGGCCCTCCGGAGCTCTAGGAGAGGACCCTTCCTTGCCTCTCACAGCCCCTGGTGGTGGTTGACAGTCCTTGGCATTCTTGGGCTCTTCACTGCGTCACTCTCATCTCAGCTGCCTTCTCTTCTTAGGACACCAGTGGAACTGAACTGAGGGCCACCTAACCCAGCGTGTCTCATTTTAACTTAACTAGTCACATCTGCAAACACCCTATTTTCGTATAAGTCCACAGGGGGAGCACAGCTGACCGAGGGCCCCGGCTGCCGGCTCTGAAATCCATCTTGGCTTTATGACAGGGCCACATGTCACATGGGTGGTCCCCAGAGGCTGGGTCGGGACAGGATTAAGGCGGGCCTGCTCCCCCCACACCCCCGCCACCCCACTCCTTTGTCAAGGACTTCTCCATGGCTTTGCTGAACAGGGACTGCATGGCAGCCTGGGACGGGCCCCCAGCCTTCCCTCCCCGGCTCCCTAATGTAACAAGAGGTGCCCTCATACCTGCCTGCACCTGCAGTCCCATCTTGGCATCTCCTTCTTGAAAACCCATTTTACTTAATTAACACAATACCCTTTCAGGAAGATGCTATCATTGTCCCCATTTCGTGGACGGGGAAATGGAGGCAGAGAGATGGCGTGGGGGAGGCCGACGGTGAGGAAGACGCGGTCTCATTCCTGAGGCTGAGCCTGGTGTTCTCTGTCAGGTTTTACCACATTTATTTCTTCAAAGGATCTGATGCCAGTAAACACACTTTCCCAAGTTTTAAAATAGGCACGTAGTTGTTTTTCCAGAACAGTCGACATTCTGAAATTGGGTGGAAATGTTAGATTAGACCTTTTAGATTGGACTGCTCTGAAAACACATCCTTCGATTTCAGACCATCCTCTGAATCTTAGTGTCCAATTTCCCTTAGTCTGTGTCCTTTTAACGGGTCAAGGGTCCTGAGGGCCGCGGGCGCTGGGGTGTGAAAAACAAGTGTCCCGGCGTGCTGGAAATGTGACTCTCCTTAATCCAAACTGGAACATCTTCTGTACCTAATCTGAGGTCAACGGTACAGCAGATGTGAGTGGCCACCTAGAAAAGTGAGTGGCAGGAGAGTCATTTCCAGAAAGTATAACCCACCCCACGCCCAGCCAGAAGCAAAGCGGACGTACCTTTAACCAACGGAAGCCCATGCTGTGACCATCCCATAGTGCAATAAAATTGGAGGGACTACTCCTATTTGAATGTTGCTGTTTCTGCACGTGTGCACGTGAGTGCACACACACGCATGCACACGCGCACACACATGCATGCACACACACACCCCAGGATGGCAAAGCTTGGGGAAGCTGGGGGCCTTGTTCTTGAAGATGCCGCAGCCCTAGAGCCGATTCCGGAAGTGTTCCTCGTGCGCTGCTCAGCCCTGGGTGCAGCGCTGGGACTCCGCAGCCCTCTGTGGGCCCGGAACGTGGGGGCTGCCGCGGGAGTCAGGCCCTGGGGCTCCGCCACTGGTGGTGTGACCTCAGGCCAGTCACGGGCTCTCAGGAGCGGCAGGGGACGCACCCCGTCCTCGAATTCCCTGCCAGCACTCACAGCCCTGGGGTGGGGCACAGCAGTGCAGGCGGGTACGACCCAGGGCCTAGCAAAGGACACGGAGGAGGGAGGCCTGGCTGGGGGCACAGGGGTGAGATTTTCCGGGACGGAGGAGGCAGAGAGCGGCCAGACAGTGTCTTAATAAACACTGCCAACTGAGAGCAAAGGGGACAGGTGCCCACAGGTAAGAGGACAGCCCCAGCCTGGCCTCGTTAGACTCCTGAAATTAGTTCCATGGGTGTTCGCTGAAGACACGGGCTTCGTGGCCCTGTGGGCCGTTTCCCCATAGTTCTGCTCCAGTGGCAATTTCCAGTGAATTGCTCTTTTCCCACGTCCCCTGGGAGGGGACCCCTCTGAAGCTCCCAGGCCTGCCCAGCCACCTGGCCATGGCCTGGCCCCCAGGCTGGCTCGAGGGCCCCTCTCCTGGGTCAAGGTCACCCGAGGAGCTGCCCCGCCCCCCACTTCTCCTGTCTCACCTGATGGGGCCTCTCGGGAAAGGTCAGCTTGTGACACGTGGGCAAGGCCTGGCCTTCCAGTGTGGCTGGGGCAGGGGTGGGGGGTGGAGAGAGGGGAGGCGGCATTCCAGGCCCTCTGGACCTTCCTGTGTCCTGTGTGTTGGGGTTCCTCAGGGAATTTTGACAGAAGGATTCCTCAGGCAGCTCAGGCAAGTGACTTGAACTTGCGTTTCCTCTTCTGCAAAATGGGGACAGGGACAGGACCTCCCCATGGGGCTGCTCTGGGAGTTTTGTGCACACAGGTTGGTAGCGCCCGTCCTGGCTCACCGCAGACGCTTTGCTGTTCTTGTCGTACTTATTTCCAAGTGGCTGAGAGCCACGGGCCCGTGGGGACCCTGTGCTTCTCCACTTACGGGTGGTCACCTTGTAGAAGCGGAGGACGCTGGGCCTGGCACGGCAGTCTCACCAGACCCTCACGGAGGACCCGAGGCTGAGACCTAGACGTGGACGCTGGAATCGCTGGCGTTCCCAGCGGGATGGAGACCAGGACTAGCCCCCGAGGCCGTCACCTGCCGTCAGCAAACCCTCTCCTGATGCGGTGTAGGGCTTGTCGTGGGGAAACCGCCCACACCACACGGTTCAGCCCAGGGGGACCCTCTGGTCCTCTAGGCCAGCCGTGCCTCCGCAGACTCTGCTGCCCGTCCGCACTGGCTGGGGCGGGGCGGGGCTGCCCGTGCTGGGCACGCTCTTGCAGGGCAGCTGCTGGAGGAGCCGAGGGGCAGGGACGGCGACGCCCTCCCTGGCAATCACCAGGGCCCTCCCTGAGGGGGTGGGCGGGGGCGTCTGGCTGGGGCTGGGCTGCGGGTGACCCCACGTGGCTGTGCCGTGCTAAAGCAGAACAGTTGAGGACAAGCTCATGGCACCGGACTGCCGAGTTCGGAGGGGGCTGTCCTGTGGGGCAGAGGGAGGGGCTGGCCCCTGGGGTGGGTGGACACCCGGCCAGTTACCTGGAGAAAAGACCAGTCCTGGGGGCGGGCTGGGGGCTGCAGGGGCCTGAGGAGGGGTCTGAACTCAGAGGACATCCGGAAGGACCTGGAGACTTTCCCTTTGGGGATCCAGAACCTTCTGAAGCCTGTCTACAAGTGGGGGCTCAGGAAGTAGTGCGGGTGTGGGGAATGGCAGCAATCACGGCAGCAGGGGGGAGGGCATGAGGCGCAGAGGACTGACCTGGGGACGGACAGGGAAGAGCGCCTGCACCCACAGGCTGCCAGGCCGGCCCTCACGCCCTGAGCCAGTGGCTCCAGACCATGGGGGCAGCGGTGGAGCCAGACCCCGTGGGAGCAGCTGCAGTGCGCTCAGCGCCTTGCGGGTCCTGCCAGAGGAAACGGGACCTGCAGGGGCTCAGGCTCCTCCTCCCTGCTACTCCCAATGACAGACACCCAGAAGCAACGACGACGCTGCCCAACTTCACGAACATCCTTTTAATCGCACGCTACTCGTCCACAAATGCGTCTGCGGGGTGAGCAGTCTGGCAGGCTGGGGCACGGGGCTGGGGGCCCTTCCCAGAGGCAAACCAGCTGGGGTGCTGCAAGGCGGATGCTTGAGCCACCACTGCCAGGACATCCTGCCAGCTCTTCTCGGCTAGAAGAGGGGACTCGGGGCCTGCTGGGCCATCGCCGGCCCGGCCCACGCTCCCACCCCCACCCCCCGCCCCGCCCTCCCCGGTCGAGCCCCGCAGCCTGAACGCATCTGGGGGCAGCCCCTGGCCGCCGCCTACACGATGCCCTCGGTGCACTTGCTCCTCCAGACCACCAGCGCCGTCACCAGCAGGGTCACCAGGATGGGGACCACGATGAAGGGGCAGAGGACGCTGTGGGGCGGGTCCCGCACGGCCCTGCCGGAGACGGGGCAGCTCGTGAAGTAGCGCTGGTGGACAGCGACGAAGAACTTGTCCACTTCCGTGTTGGGCCAGAAGCAGCCCAGCTTCCCCGCCACCAGGCAGGTGCAGTTAGTGAGCCCTCCGTAGCTCCTGCAGGCGGAAAGGGAGGTCATCAGACCCGGGGCAGGAGGGCAGCCAAGGCAGGACCTACGCTGGGGGCTCCCCGTCCCGTCCCTCACGTGGCAAAGCACCCCAGAAGCCCAGACGCTGAGGCAGTGGCCCTGGCTGGGGGAGCTGAGGGTCCGGCAGCTCCCAGGGGAGGCCCAGCTGTCCTGAACTGGAGGACTGCGGCTGTGTGAGGAGCACTGGCCTGACTGCGGGGCTCCTGCCGCCCCGCGTGCACCTCAGTGACCACGGGGCAAGGTCAGGCCGGGGTGCTCGGGCCTGGGGAACCAGTGAGGAGCCGCAGCCAGCCAGCACGGTGGGACCCCCGCAGAGGGCCCGGAGCCAAGCTGCCCATCGTACTCCCAGCCATGAGCCTGGAAACTGAGCCGGGCGGGCCCTGCGCTGTGTCCTGGTCGCTTCCCCCGCCAGCCCCCCAAGGCTCCCAGCCGCCAGCTCTCTCCACGTGCCGCAGAGACGCGCTCGACAGCCCAGCGCACCCCCGCCCGGCCGCCATCGGGGCCAGGACCCGAGCAGGACCCCCGGGAGACCACGTCGGTCCCAACGAAGTCTCGTGACTTCTGTGGAGGTGGTCGGAGAGGAGCAGCCGAGTCTTTGGCCGAGTGTGGCTCCGAGTGGGGCCGATATTAACGAGGGAGGGAGTGTGTGCGAACCTCGGGCATGTGAGCCTGTGTGTGACCCTGTGTGTGTGTGTGACCCTGTGTGTGTCCCTGTGTGTGTGTGACCCTGTGTGTGTGTGTCCCTGTGTGTGTGTGACCCTGTGTGTGTGTGTCCCTGTGTGTGTGTCCCTGTGTGGGTGTGTCCCTGTGTGTGTGTGACCCTGTGTGTGTGTCCCTGTGTGGGTGTGACCCTGTGTGTGTGTGACCCTGTGTGGGTGTCCCTGTGTGGGTGTGTCCCTGTGTGGTGTGTGACCCTGTGTGGGTGTGTCCCTGTGTGGGTGTGACCCTGTGTGTGGGTGTGACTATGTCATTCTCTGTGTGTGACCCTGTGTCGATTTCCGCACAGGCCTCTCCCGACCCTTATCCCGGAGTGTGGCTTCAGGTGCCTTTGCCCACAGGTGTGGCCTGGACCAGCCGCCAGCCAGGCTGGAGGGAAGGGAGTGGAGGTGGCTGTGCGTGGGGTGTTCCCGGGCACAGCTCGGAAAGGAGCCGTTGCGAGTCACTTCTGCCTGCCCTGTCGGGACGTCTGGGACTCTGCCCGCAGCCCAGGGCGGTTTCCCCTCCCTCTGGACCCGGAGGGCAGCGCTCTCTGGGGAGGAGTAAACGCCGCCTCCTCTCTCCACATGTGGCCTGTAGGCCGCGGGCGCCCTTTGAAACGCAGCGGAACAAAACCATTCCCAAGTGGCTCCTGTATTGCCGCTTTTCCGCGTCATCTTCCAACGCAGGACGTGGGAATCGAGCGCCCTATGGCGGCGTGGGGAACAGGTGCAGAGATCGCACCAGCTGGCAGGGTAGAGCCCCGACTGTGCCGGAACCTGCCTTCTCCCTGCACCTCTTACTCCACGAAAGGAAGAGAGGCCCTTATGGGGGCTGGCGGGGCTCGGAGGCTGTTCTCAGGGACTGACGGTCTCATGGGGGTCTTGGTGGCACTTCATTGTTGTCATCATCTCCATGACAACTGCTGCCGTTGCCAACACCCACTAAGTGCTCATTCGTGCCAGGCACAGGCGGGCTAAGCGGGCTCTGTGTGATCTCATTCGCTCCCAGGTACTGCTGTCACCTGTCATTTTACAGGAGAAATAGGGGGTTTAGGAAGGTTCCAGAGCTGCTCGTGGGGAGGCCAGGGTACGAGTGCCAGGGGCCGACTGCAGGGTCCTCACTGTCCCCTCCTGGTGTGGATCCAGTCACAGCTCAGACACGTCCTTGTCTGGGTCCAAATCCCACTCACTGGGCGTCGAGGCCACAGTGGGTGTCCATGAGCCCTGAAGCCAGCACAGGCCTGTCTGCCCCGGGGGCAGCTCTGGCTCCTCGAGGGCAGGCTCAAGTCCCCTTCACCTCCGTCCCTTCAGTGCCAGCTGGGTGCCAGCATGTGTGGCGGTGGCCCCACCAGCGCCAGGTCAGAGGTTGTGCGTCCGGGAAGAGCGAGCTCTGCCTCACAGCACAGCAAGTCCCGGAGCTCACAGCGGTCAGTTTCAATTCTGGTGACCTGGGATCCCCCCGAGGAAGGCCCCAGGATCGTGTAACTGCGGAGGCACGAGTCTGAGCACGTGCCCCGAAGCTGGAGGTGGGCGTGAGTCGTGTGGCCATGTGGCCTGTGACCCAGGGAGTCTAGAGGGCCCCACATCCCACGAGAATGCCGAGTTGACAGTGCAGTTTCTCTGCCACTTTGAACAAGTTGAATGTAGTTTCGAGAAGGTGAATCACCACTGCTTCTGCTTAGGATGTAGAAGGCAGCGTTGCTCCCACCCGAACAACAGCAGAACAGCTGGAGAAACTACGAATCATACATTTGCCGGAGTCTGTCTGAGAGCGAAGGCTGCAAGGCAAGGAAGTCACCGAGTTTTGAGAAGGAGCAACATGGGACTGCCCACCTGTGGCAAAGCCGGGGGAGGGGAGGCACAGGCCCACCCCACAGGTAGGAGGAAGTTGGCTAACTACTGAACTACCAAGGCCAGGCGTGGGCTGGAGGGTCCGTCTGAAGTTGCCCGAGACTCGCCACTCTCTCCCACGAGGCTCCACCATGTGCTCGTGAGAAGGACTGGGGGCGGCACAAACACCGGATGTTTCCCGAGTCCTTCTTGGTAAGAAAGGAGCCTCAGGCTCCTGGAGGAAGAACAGCAAACCTCCTGCCCGCAGGCGCAAAGGAGCTGATCAGAGGGTAGGAACGGGCCCAAAGCCCTTCCCACTGTCCCAGACTCTTCTCCCGGGAAACAAACGCCTTAAGCTGCTGAAGGAAGGACAGCAAAGCCTGTCACCCCTGGGGCACAGGCAAAGACACACTATGGCTGGGGGGAGGATAAGAAAGAACACTTTTCCCTTGGGAGGGCACCAGGAAACCATCCCAGACCTAGGATCCTGCACGACTCCAAACAGAGGTCTCCCACCACCGGGGAAGGACAGGAGACTCGCACCCAAGACCCCCGTAGATATAGGCAGAGGTTGGCTACCACGGGGAGGAGGGGCAGGACTGCTGAGGCCGAGGGCACAGACCTGTCTAAATTGGGGCTGGAACAGGACACAGAGAACTCCTCCCCATGCCCCACTGCTACCCTGGCACAGAATAATAAGCTGTCTGTCGCTGGGAGAAGGCAGGCAGAGATCCAGGCTGCGGCACAGGCAGGCGAGGGACAGCGGAAAGCTGAGGGTGGGGCACCACACTGAGGACCATCCTCCAGAGCCCTGGCCCCCGCCCTGAGCACAAGGCAATGGCAGCCCACTGCTAGCGGTACTGGAGGCCTGAGGTGCAGTGAAGGCAATCATAGCAACAGCAAATCCCAGACCCATCTCAGTTCTTGACAATGTCGACTCAAATCCCACGCTGACAGCCTGACAGAAAAGAAAAGGCTTACTCATTTCCAGACGTACATACTATTTACCTCAATCTCTTCTGTCCTACACATTCAACAAAAAATTGTGTTTTGTTCAAAAGCAACAAAAACCAACCAACCCAATGCCAAGAGGCAAAACAATCAATAGAATAAGACTCAGAGATGACCTAGATGTAACTTTCAGCAGGGAATTTAAAGTGGTTTGATAAAGGGTCTAGTGGGAAAGGTAGACACTATGCAAGAGCAGATGGAGAGTTTCAGCAGAGAAATGCAAACTCTAAGTCAAAGGCACAAAGACACTTAGTAGAAAAAACATGGTATCAGAAAGAACTGCTTTGATGGGCTCAGCAGACATAACAACCGAAGAAAGAGTGAAGATAGGTCAGTAGAAATTACTCAAACTGAAACACAAAAAGAAAAACAGGTGGGGAAAAACCATAACAGAACACTCAAGATCTGTGTAAAATAACAACATGATGAATGGTATTGACTCCAACTCATCATTGGAGTCCCAGAAGGAGGAGAGGGAATGGAGCAGAAGAAATATTTGAAAAGATAATGGCCGAGATTTTCCAGAAACAATGAAAGGCATCATATCGCAAATCCAAGAATCTCAAAGAACCCCGAACAAGACAAGAAACAAAGCAACAGCAACAACAAATAACCCCATAGACACATCAAAGTCAAACTGCCAAAAACCAAAGAAAAAGTCTTGAAGTCATTCAGAGAACAAAGACACATACTGAGGAGCAGTGACAGGAGTAACTGCAGACTTCTTAGCAGAGACCAGGCAGGCTGGAGACGGCAGGTGCCATCTCCCAAGTACCGGAGGGGCAGGGTGGGGGGACACACTCCTGTCAGCCCAGAATTACATACCCAGCAAAATACCTTTCAAATATGAGGTTGAAATAAGAACCCTTTCAGGAAAAAAAAGGCCGAGAGAATTCACTGCCAGCAGACCTGTGCCACAGCAAATGTTAAAGAAAGTTCTTCAGTCAAAAGAACATACCAGAAAGAATTTTGGACCCACACAAAGAAATGACGAGCTCCGGAAATAGAAAAAGTGGAGATAATTAAAAGGTACTTTTTCTTATTTTTAATCTAGAATGTGAATAAATGGGGCGGAGGCCACACATTAAGTGTGAGGAGAACCCCCATCAGGGGGGTTCTAAGAGGCTGCATGGAAAAAGCAGGGGCCCCCTCGATCCCGGGCCCGACGACACAGTCATTGTATTTCCTGCCCGGCTGCGCCCTGGGTCACTGCCGAGTGCACAGGGTCTCCCTCAGCCCACGCAAGGGCCGAGTGGGTGAGCTCGGCAGGGAGGGGCGCAGAGGGTGAGCGGGCCCATCCGCACAGCTCGCTGGCACTGGGGTGCACGGTCTCTGCATCTGAACAGGACCCAGGTTTCAAGGAGAAAAGAGAGTGGAGGAAGCCGCAGGAAGCCGTGCAGCCGTCCCGGAGCGAGGACAATACGAATCA